ACAAAGATCAACGGCGATGACAACATCGGCGGGAACGTCACGCAGCGCCGGACTCCATGGGCGGGCGGCGGCGCAGACTCACGGCGTCTTGACGTGCCTTTCGCCTCTGGACCGATCTGTTACAAATTGGTTACAAGCATCTCACTATTGAAACAACCATGAACGAATCCATGGTACACTCACGTACCAATAGGAGGACCGGACTCATGTAGCAACGAACTCCACGGCGGACTCCAAATCGCAACCGTCTCGATCCACGCAGGGGTCAGCTTGTGGAGGCCGATCGCTTGTCGACGAGCGCGACGGCGTCCCCGGTGTGCCCGGCTCCCGGCGGCCAGACGGAAGAACCTCTTGCCGATCGCTTGTCGATGCAGGGGTCAGCTCGTCGAAGGACCTGGATGCGCCGGCGGTGGCCAGATGGAAGGACGCGCGATCCGCGGCTCTTGCGCGAATCGACGCGCTGCCAGTCGGAACGACGGACCAGGCTCCTGTTTGCGCTGGGGGGTTTTCGCAAAACAACGCAACTAGTGTGCTAATTGCGGGCGTTTAATTGTAAAACGCGCCCACCTCTATCTGAAGCCATCGGATGAAGATCTAGCGGTCCAGATTGATGGTTTCCAAAGTTTGCACGTAAGATTGGTTTCCACCTGATCCGTTGCCCAGCTTATTAGATCTAATGTAAAGGGATAATTGAATCATATAATCTCGTTTATTGACTTCATTCACTACCAGTACGTTTTCATCTGGTTTGTCTGAGAGGAACTCGGCCGCTAGCTTTCCGCCGCCTACCCCGCGCAGTTGCAATGCTGGGCAAAAGGGTCGCAGGCTTATGGATGAAAACGGTACGGATATTTATTCGACCGTCCGTTCGACCGAACAAATATGAACACTTATCTGGATAGTTACTCGGATATCCGTTTTTTTTTCCGGATACGGATACTAAAACGGATATCTTAGGCGGATATCAAATACGGATGTAATATCATCGATATCCGGCGGATATCGGATAATCCGGATAAGTATCGGATATATCCGGATATTTAAAAACGGATATTATCCGGATATTTATTTAAAATTTAAAAATCACAAATTTGAACCATCCAAACTATCTCAAATGAAAAGTTGACCAAAACAATAATTGTAGATCTTGATGAGTTGAACAAACTTGGTATTCAAAACTTTTCAATTTGAAGTTATTTAGAGTTCATAATACTAGAGTCAAATTGTTGTTTTTTCATTTGACCAAATTTGACTTGGTCAAACTTGCTCAAATGAGACACTAAATGACCTCAGATGAAAAAACTCTGAATACCAAGTTTGATCATCTCAGCAAGATCTACAATTGTTACATAGCTCATTTTTCCATTTGAGAAAATTTTATCAAACACTAGTCATAAATTCTTGAATCTCATATAGACTTTCTGAAACTATGTCACACACTTGTGAAATTTGAACTATATTTTGTTCAAACTTTCTCAAATGAAAAAATGGCCTATATAAGGATTGTATATCTTGATGAGATGAACAAATTTGGTATTCAAAACGTTTCAATTTAAGACAATGTAGGGTTCCGAAAACTAGTTTGTAAACGTTGAAATTTAAAAATCACAAATTTGAACCGTCCAAACTATCTCAAATGGAAAGTTGACCAAAACAAAAATTGTAGATCTTGATGAGTTGAACAAACTTGGTATTCAAAACTTTTCAATTTGAAGTCATTTAGAGTTCATAATACTAGAGTCAAAGTGTTGTTTTTTCATTTGACCAAATTTGACTTGGTCAAACTTGCTCAAATGAGACACTAAATGACCTCAGATGAAAAAACTCTGAATACCAAGTTTGATCATCTCAGCAAGATATACAATTGTTACATAGCTCATTTTTCCATTTGAGAAAGTTTTATCAAACACTAGTCATAAATTCTTGAATCTCATATAGATTTTGTGAAACTATGTCACACACTTGTGAAATTTGAACTACATTTTGTTCAAACTTTCTCAAATGAAAAAATAGCCTATATAAGGATTGTAGATCTTGATGAGCTGAACAAACTTGGTATTCAAAACTTTTCAATTTGAGACAATCTAGGGTTCCGAAAACTAGTTTGTAAGCATCGAAATTTAAAAATCACAAATTTGAACTATCCAAACTATCTCAAATGGAAAGTTGACCAAAACAAGAATTGTAGATCTTTATGAGTTGAACAAACTTGGTATTCAAAACTTTTCAATTTGAAGTCATTTAGAGTTCATAATACTAGAGTCAAAGTGTTGTTTTTTCATTTGACCAAATTTGACTTGGTCAAACTTGCTCAAATGAGACACTAAATGACCTCAGATGAAAAAACTCTGAATACCAAGTTTGATCATCTCAGCAAGATATACAATTGTTACATAGCTCATTTTCCCATTTGAGAAAGTTTTATCAAACACTAGTCACAAATTCTTAAATCTCATACAGACTTTCTAAAACTATGTCACACACTTGTGAAATTTGAACTACATTTTGTTCAAACTTTCTCAAAATGAAAAATGGCCTATATAAGGATTGTAGATCTTGAATCCATGACCATGACTCCATGAGACCCATGAAGCAATGTGCTTGGCTATTTCTACTCATGCCGCGAAGATTGGTGCTTATATGATGTTTGATGTATGATGTATCTGTATCTTTATCTTATTTGTTGCTTTACTCTTTAGTCTTTCGGCTTAATCTAGATGGATTATGGACTCATAGAGTGGTGTAATGGTTTGCGCACGTATGATATATATATATATGCTGCTTTTACTCAATATCCGAATAGATATTTGTATCCGACCTTCTCCGAATCCGATTCATACCGTATTCAATACTCATTATTCGTATCCGTAACCGAGTCAATCCGTATTCGTATATGTATCCGAACGTTATCCGTGTCCGAATCCGAATCCGAACAGGAATATGAAAACAAATATAATATGAGTGATATCCGTTCGTATCCGATCCGTTTTCATCCCTACGCAGGCTCCGTAGTTGTTCACCGTAGCCCGTAGGGCAGCATTACTGCCAAAATAAAGTATTCTGAATCATTCAGAAACAAAGCTGACAGCTTGACACAGTTTATGGTTGTTGGAGGGGTGATCTATGATTGGACTATTGAAGCCTGACACAGCTTAACATACTACAGGTCACTACTGGCAGAAGTATGGCAGTACCTGAACACGTACGTGCAGGTCGACCAATTCCGGTTCGTTGGGTACAAAAGTTGCGAACAAAAATCATGTGCACTAGCGCATAACATGTTCATCAATCATCTTCTCCTAACAAAAAACCCACACTCATCACACACAGCTAAAAAGTTGCGGAAATTGAAAGGAGAGCTAATGTCTGTCGTCGAACAACAACGACGCTAGCTAATGCTGGGAAAGAGATCGATGAAAATCCTGGCAACGATGGGGTAGGTATCAGCTAGCTCTTCCATCTGTCCATGCATATTCAGCATGTTCGCTTGTTGGTTTTAGTGAGAGCTTATCAGCCAGCTAACAGTATTTTTCTCTCACAACGAACCAACATCAGCCGGACTTATCAGCCCAGAAACTAACCAGTGAGCATGCTGATTATCTCTAGCTAGAGATGGATCAATAATGCTCATATCTCTATACTATGAATCCTGGGTCCAAAAGCTGGCCGGCGAGAGTGGCCACGTCACGGGCTGTTCCCGGCCGTCGGATCGGACGAGCGGACGGCCCAGATCGGGTGATCCGCGGTCATTTTACGAAAAACCCCTTCAACTTTTAGGAAATCAACCCGCGCTCTAGAGGCCCTCTCAGAAAATTTTGCAAAAAACACCTCATATTATTCCTAAATCAACCCGCAGTCTAGAATGGATGGGCTCTGGTTTTTTTGCAAAGAAGACCTTCACTTTATCGAAAATCAACCCGCATTCTAGAGACACTCTCAGCAATTTTTACGAAAACCTCCTCAGATTTTCTCAAATCAAAATACAGGACACCTTTGATTATGGCTCCGTTCGGCTGGCAGAATCTTGACTGAAACTGGCTGGTTGTGTGGGAGAGAAATACTGTTGGCTGGTTTGATAAACAGGGATCTCAGAGAAAAACCAGCCGGCTGGTTTCTTTAGCCCAGACCAGCGAACGGAAGCTATATCTCTTTTTTTCTGACCTCAAGGCTTGTAACAGCGACTGGTAGAGCGCCTCCAGGCCCTGGCTCAGCGCCTCCTCCATCTCCAGCGCCGACTGCTGCAGCCCGTACACGCCCACGATCTGCTGCTCCGTCAGGGGCTCCACGTGGCTCAGCAGCATCGTATGTGTGTGTATAACACACACACGTGCAATTACTTTAATTAAGCATCTAAACGACATGCTCACATGCATGATATATGCAGCAGTTCATACGTGACCTGGGCCATGTATACGTACGCACTCATTATGCAGATGTGATGGAACGATAATGAGCCGATCGAATGTACTACCTCCATCCACCCAAAAAAAAATGCAAAGGCCTGTGCATGCATAGAGACTAAGCTTGACTTGCCGCCACAAAGTTTAAGTTCTTTTAGGCTATTGTGGGCCTCGCATGTCAGTGTGATTTTTCCAAAAAATAAATTAGCTGAAACTAAATCACAGAAAAATTATAAATTAGAAAATCAAGTTGATCTGAAATCCTAACGAGTAGAACTAAAACCTAACGAGCATAACAATGCAGTGCATCCATAATATCACATGTTTTAGTAAGAATTTTTTCATATAAACTTTTACCTGTGCTTTTAGAGGTAGATAAAATTATACCTTCATGATGATAAACTCTCGAAAATACATAAAAATCATAAAATAAACAAAAAAATTGCTGATTTTCTCATCATTACACCTATATTCTTATTGCCACTGGCCTAATCAAAAGAAAAAGCACGGCAAAGCCGCGCCCGCGTTTCTAGTATAGTAGTATAACGGAGCACAGCAATGATGGATTGGCCGGGTAGGTTTCGATGTCGCCTCTGTCTCTCATGCCGCCGGCGCTGCTGGGTTCTGGTCGACGAGCTTGTCGATGAGGTCGGCGGCCTCCTGGATGGTGGTGATGTTCTGGGCGTTGTCCTCCTCGACGGTGATCTTGAACTCCTCCTCCAGCGCCATGACGATCTCCACCGTGTCCAGCGAGTCGGCGCCCAGGTCCGCGAACTTGGACTCCGCCGTCAGCCCCACGTCAGCCGCCAGCGCCAGCTGCTGCTTCACGATGTCCATCACCTTGCTCACCGTCTCCGCCTTCGCCTGCATATTCCATATATATGCGCAGCATACAATACAGTTCAGATCGATAAAAAGGGGTATGTAATCAGCAGGGTCAAGAAGTGCACGTACAGGAAATCGATCAAATAAAACGTTACCGCGTAGACGCGAAACCGTGGGGATCTTAGGGAGACGAGGCCGCCTCTTCGGGTGGTCGCCATGGAGACCACATTCCGGCCTGAAACTCTGCTTCCCTGCAGGTTTCAGTTAAAAGAGGCAGAGAACAGGCAGGTTCAGGCATTCAGCCATTCATTCAGGGTGGGAGGGAGCACATACATCAGTTGGAATGTAATAACAAAAATGGTAGGGTACAGTCGTATACATACATACATATATGCTAATATAATATGCAATGCAACTACTGCTAGGTCTGAAACCGGGAAAAATGTGCAAACAGATAGTACGGCGTTGGACAGCGCGGTTTCATCCAAAATACGAGCATGTTGAACCCAAAAAGTACGATGCACCTCGAATAGGGAATGAGGATGTAGTACCAAATACTACTATTTGCACCCCTGCTGACCGCCGTACCTCTTCAGGACAAGGATCTGGAGAAGGGGATAACTGCTACCGGCAACGGCAACGTTCATATTCTGTTGAGTGGCCGACAAAACGCGGGATCTACACGGATTAGCTATCTACGCTTTTGTTGCTGGCCGGTGCTGCTTTTCCGTTACGTACACAGCTAGTCCCCTGTTTCATGTAACCATCGACATTGGCCTCGCTGATTACGCTTCTACTGGCGCATGCAAAACCTACAGAAAACGTACTAGAACCTACACCTGCCACAGTGCTAACTTCAGTGTCGTCCACACAACACATTGCCTTGGAGTATGAATGAATATATGATTTCATATACTGGCACACGTACTACAAACTCAAAGTTTGTAGTAGAAAATTTTGCCACGAACCAGACGAACTGGTTATAATGTCCACCGACCAACCAAAACACAGCTTGGGCAGTGATGTAACGTAAATATGTAAAAACAAGCACACAAAAAGATAGGAAGAAACAAAAAGAGATGCTACTAGTATTTCAGTATTTATTACCTTCCAGCTCAGCGTTGGTGCCTTGCAGTAACCGGCCTTGGCGGAGATGGCGGACAAGGTGGCCATTGGAGCAGCTCAGCAGCTTGTTAGAGCAGCCAGCAGATGGGGTTGTTGGGACCGGAAGTGCAAGTGCCGGGAGAATGAACGGAGGAGAAGCAGAGGAAACTAACCAAAGCTAGCAGCAAATGGAGCTGGGCAGGGAGGCAGACCGGAGGGGTTTTGGATTAGATTAAATCCTGGGCTCCGAGGTGGCGTGATTCTGGCCACCTGCTCCGGCTTACATACTCCCACGGCCCTGTCTCCTGTTATCTCTGTATGTGGGCCCAGGAGCTAACCTTTGGTGGTTTTCACAAAATTGGGCCCAGCACAGCACCTCGAATCCTGAAGATGCTCCTTCGTCTTGCCCTCTCCCTGTATTCTGAATCTGAACTAGGAAACACAAGTTATGGTTTCAGCTAAACAATACTGGAATGAGCGCAAGTACTGCAAATGATTAAAATTCAGCTTGTTTTCCAAAAAAAAAAAACAGAGATTCAAACCATACCAGTAATATGAACGAGGCTCAAGCGTGACGACACATTTGAGTTGCGAGGATTTTATCCATGACAGTATATACAATATCAGCTTAAATACGCATCAAAGATACCGCATCAGCCAGATCTCCATGAGCCACCATGCTTCAGTTGACAAGTTATGCATATAATAAGTAAGAAGCATTATAAACGAGACGAAATTTCGAGCAACCAAACATATAAGTTATATATATGCTGAATCACATTACCTTGTCCAACTCAAGCGTGGGTCTATTGGGATTCAACTCCAGCGCTTTCTGTATCGAAGCCTCTGCCGCCTCCACCTCCTCAAGCTCCGCACAGTAACAGTTCATATGAACAACGGCACGGTCGAGCGAGGAGAGGCTCTCCAGGCCGCACTCGAAGTCGCCAAACTGATCCAAGGTATGCCGCACATGGAGGTCCAAACGAACGGTTCGGAGCTTTGGCATGGCTCCTGCTGCAAACTCCACCTCCATGGCGCCAGGCCCGATTCTGAACTTCGTTAGGAAACGGAATGGACAGTCGTCACTGCCGATGGCCAACCTCTTGTGCCTGTCTTTTCTGTGCTCCTTCACCCATATGTAGAGGCTGCGAAGAGATGGTATTCTGCCAAGGACCTGGAGGTCCTCCTCTTGTAGTGTCAGCAGTGTGATGTCTAGGGCGGACAGGGCAAGGAGCGATGGCATCCATAATGGCACACAGCCTACAGTGCCAGGCCCTACGTTAATGGACCGAAGCTGTTGAGGCCCTGGTGTTAACAACATGCCAATGTTGGAACCAAGGCCGTTGTGGCAATCAAATACCTGCAGGGATTCAAGGTTCACCAGGTTGGATAGAAAGTGAACAAAAGGTTCCTCATAGCTCTCGTCGTCCCAGTCGTCGAAGCGGAGCATCAAACGCCTCAGCTCGGTCAGCCTGCTCAATTCGCACAGCATTGTTGGGGAACTGATTGTTATACGTGGTGATAACTTCTGTAGAGAAATTAAGTTCCCAAGGCATTCTGGTAGTCTAGTCCGATTGTCGACAGACAAGAACTCTAGTTTTCTTAGCTGGACAAATGCTGGTGGAAGCGCTTTTATGTTGGTCATATTCAAGTCCAGGAACTGCAGAAGCTGTAGGTTCCCAATCTCATTTGGTATCTCAGTGATGGATGTCAAAGATAGCTTTAGATATCTCAGGTGATACAAATTGCAGATGTGCTTGCAGTGACTGTTATACACCTGAGTACAGCCATATAAATCCAACACACGTATGATCGGAAAGCTGGACAGGGTAGGCAACAAAGTGAATGCTTCCGATGACACGGTTAGTGATCTCAAATGGGACAGGTTCATGGTTACCACCTTCTTGACATCTTCGACCTTCATTGTTTGGAGCAACAATCGGCGGATCTTACTTGTTGGCTTACACATCGTCTGGGAACCACCAAGTGCTTGTAAAAGATTCTCCTCCTCTGATATGGAAGCAATTAGATCAAGCATCATGTCATGCACAAAACAAGACCATACCTTACTCCCATGGTTAAAAAGCATTGGTTGGATAATACTTCTATTGATGAGGTCTTCAAAGTAATCCTCTCCCGCTTCATAAAAAGTTCTCCCATGATGTTTCCGGATAATACCTTCACCTATCAATTTGTATATCACCTTCTCGATTATTATACCATTATCCTCTGAATACAAAGTCAGATACAACAAGAAAGTCTTCAAATGTGGCGGCAGATCATAGTAACTGATAGACAGTATCCTTCGCATGTCCTTCACATCCGTGCTTTCTTCAAGTCCAGAACCCATGGATTCATACCCTTGATACCAGTACTTATCAGTGTTTTCCTTTCTCATTTTAGTTGCTAATAGACTGGCTATTGTAATTACAGCTAAAGGTACACCGCCACATTTTTTCAAAATATTCTTTGATACTTCAGCTAAGTGATTTGGAGGAGCTCTGTCTTCAGTGCCAAATATTCTTTGGTAGAACAACTTTCTTGAGTCAGCAGGAGAAAGAGGTCTTAGTTCATAGATACCATTAGCTTGCTTGGCAACATCAAGGATGCGAGTTGTGATTATTCTACTTCCACATCGATTCTCAATAAAAGCATGCCTGACTGTATTCCATACTGAACAACTCCATATGTCATCAATGACAATGAAGTAGCTGTTGGATTGCACCAAAGAACCATGTTAATTAGTAAAGCTTATGATAAAATAAAGTTCAGCAGACAGTGAACAAAAAGTTCAGCTGCCAGTGAACTCCATATGTCATCAATTTATTTTGTTAACATGAACAAAAAGTTCAGCTGCCAGTGAACTTCTATCTTTCATGGCTATACACCTATTTGTTTAAAGAGACATTGGTATGGAGGTAATGAGGCAATGCCAAATTTAAGCATGTTGTAAAAAAAATGGCCAAATTTAAGCACAATCAGTGTGCCAGTGAACTCCGCCTATGTTGTCTCAACATAGCAGGTCCTAAGCCCTGATAAAGAAGCAGGGTTGTGATAGGCGTGGCGAGCCAATGTTAAGTCTAGCCATTCTAATGGAGATGAAAACCGAAAGAAAATCGTTGGGGCGTAATCCTCTTAGCGACGCGCCATATCAGAACCCGGGTATGGTGTTAAATGAGCAAGGGCCAGGTCGTCACCCCCGTGACGCGCCGTGTCGCGATCTAGGCACGGTGTCAAGTGAGCAAGGATCGGGTCGTCGCATCCTTAGTGGCGCGCTACATTGGCGCCCGGGTGTAGTGAAAAATAACCAAGGGTCTTCACATCTAAGTCGACAGATGCGAAGGGTAAGGAAGCTAGTCGAACCAACTAGAATCCGTTTAGGTAGTTGGAATGTAGGGTCGCTTACAGGTAAGTTAAGAGAATTAGTTGATACCGCAACTAGGAGACGCGTAAATATATTATGCGTTCAAGAGACTAAATGGAAGGGTTAGAAGGCGAAAGAGGTGGACAATACAGGTTTCAAGCTTTGGTACACAGGGATAGTCGCGAATAGAAATGTAGTAGGAGTTTTGATTGATAAGAGCCTCAAGAATAATGTGGTGGGAGTGAGAAGGCAAGGAGATAGGATTATCTTAGTCAAGCTTGTCATTGGTGATATGGTCTTGAACATAATTAGTGCGTATGCCCCCAAGTAGACCTCGACGAGAGTGCTAAAAGACAGTTCTAGGAAGACTTAGATGGCCTGATTAGAGCTGTACCTAGTAGTGAGAAGCTTTTTATAGAAGGAGATCTTAATAGGCATGTAGGTACTACAAGCGCAGGTTTTGAGGCAGTTCATGGAGGTTTTGGGTATGGTAGTAGGAATCAGGAGAGGGAGGAAGTTCTGGACTTCACGGTAGCTTTTGACCTGATGATAGCCAACACTTTCTTTAGAAAGAGAGAATCTCATTTAGTGACCTTCAGTAGCGGACAACACTCTAGCCAGATTGACTTTGTCCTCGCAAGAAGAAAGGACAAACGAGTATGCTTGGGTTGCAAGGTGATACCAGGGGAGTGTGTTGTTTCTCAACATAAGCTTTTGGTGGCAGACTTTCGTTTTCAGATGCGTGCCCGTAGGGATAAACAAGCTAAGATTGAAAGAATAAAGTGGTGGAAACTGAAAGGGGAGGCGTCAGAGATATTTAGGGAAATGGTTATCAAAGAGAGCTCTTGGAAGGAAGAAGAGGACATAAACAACATGTCGGAGAAGATGGCAACCAATATTCGGAAGGTGGCTTCAGAGGTGTGTGGAGTAACCAAAGGAAGTGGGGGCGAGGCTAAAGATACTTGGTGGTGGAACGAGAAAGTCCAAAGGGCTATTAAGGAGAAGAAAGAATGCTATAGACGCTTGTACCATGACAGGAGTGTGGACAACATAGGGGAAGTACAAGGTGGCAAAGAAGACTGCAAAGCGAGCTGTAAGTGTGGCAAAGGGTAGAGCGTACGAGGATCTTTACCAACATTTGAGTATGAAGGAAGGAGAGAAGGACATTTATAAGATGGCTAGGGTTCGTGAAAGAAAGACAAGGGACTTCAACCAAGTTAAGCGCATTAAGGATGAAAGGGAGCATCTCTTGGTGAAGGAGGATGAGATCCGACATCGATGGCAAGAGTATTTTGACAAATTGTTCAATGGTGATAATACGAACACAATCTTTCAGTTGGATGATTCTTTTGATGACACCAATAGGCGTTTTATGCAGAGAATCCAAGAATCTGAGGCCAGAGATGCGTTGAAAAGGATGAAAGGAGGTAAGACAATGGGACCGGATAGTATCCCAATCGAGGTGTGGAGATACCTTAAGGACATAGCTATAGTATGGCTAACCAAGCTATTTTACCATATTTTTCGATCGAACAAGATGCCTGACGAGTGGAGGAGAAGTACATTGGTACCGATCTATAAGAATAAAGGGGATATTCAAAGTTGTACTAATTACCGGGGAATTAAGTTGATGAGCCATACTATGAAGCTATGGGAGAGAGTTATCGAGCATCGCTTGAGAGCAATAACGCGGGTCTCTATGAACCAATTTGGTTTCATGCCCGGAAGGTCAACCATGAAAGCTATTTTCTTAACAAGACAAGTTATGGAACGGTATAGGGAGAGGAAGAAGGAACTACACATGGTTTTTATTGACTTGGAGAAGGTTTATGATAAAATAGCAAGGAATGTTATGTGGTGGGCTTTGGACAAACATAAAGTCCCACGAAGTACGTCGGGCTCATTAAGAACATGTACAACAATGTTGTGACTAGTGTTCGAACAAGTGATGGAGACACGGATGACTTCCCGATTAGGATAGGACTACATTAAGGATCAGCTTTGAGCCCTTATCTGTTTGTCTTAGTGATGGATGAGGTCACAAGGGACATACAAGGGGACATTCCTTGGTGTATGCTTTTCGCGGACGATATAGTGCTAGTTGATGAAAGTCGGACAGGAGTGAATCGGAAAATGAAGTTATGGAGGGAGACTTTGGAGTCCAAAGATTTTAGACTCAGTAGAACTAAAACTGAGTATATGATATGTGACTTCGGCACTACTACTCGGGAGGAGGAAGATATTAGTTTGAAAGGTTAAGTAGTGCCTAGGAAGGATAACTTTCGATATTTAGGATCAATGCTACAGAGAGACGGGGATATTGATGAAGATATTAGCCATAGAATCAAAGCAGTATGAATGAAGTGGCGCCAAGCATCTGGTGTTCTATGTGACAAAAGGGTACCATAGAAACTAAAAGGCAAGTTTTATAGGACGACGATTAGACCTGCTATGTTGTATGGTGCAGAATGCTGGTCTACGAAAAGACAACATGTTCAACAGATTAGTATCGCGAAAATGCGTATGTTGCGTTGGATTTGAGGTCATAAAAGAAGGGATCGAGTTCGGAATGATGATATACGTGATAGATTAGGGGTAGCACCAATTGAAGAAAAGCTTGTCCAACACCGGTTGAGATGGTTTGGACTTGTCCAACGGAGACCTCCAGAGACACCGGTGCGTAGTGGAATCCTAAGCTAGGATAGTAACGTGAAGAGGGGTAGATGAACACCGAAGTTGACTTAGGTAGAGACAATAAAATGAGACTTGAAAGGATGGAATATACCCAAAGACTTAGCCTTAGATAGGAGTGCTTGGAAAATAGCTATTCACGTGCCTGAACCTTGATTGCTTTTGCTGGGTTTAAACTATAGCTTACCCTAACTTATTTGGGACTTAAAGGCTTTGTTGTTGTTGCTGCTGCGTGTAATAGTCATAAAAGACACTCTGTTACCGGTTTGCAGACTGAAAATCTAAAACAGATTCAAGAGGATAATACAATTTACAAGCAGGAACTGAGAGGAATACATACATGTCAAAGTGTACCAAGCATCTATCATAAAACAGATTCAAGAGGATCATACAATTTACAAGCGGGAACCGAGAGGAATTAATACATGTCAAAGTGTAACAAGCATCTATGAAGATGAAGGGAAGTGTACATACGCACCTCTTGTCTCGAAGGAATTCCCTTAGTTGTTCGATAACTTTTGCTTCGCCCTACGTTGCAATGTTGGTGTTGTGGTTCTTCAGCCTGTTCATTTGCTCGTAAACGATCGTAAATTTCTAGCCAAGAACAGTGTTTTTCTCTCACACCAAACCAACCAACAATAAATAATCCACGATACGATACGGTCTTCCAAACAGGCTGCTTGTCGAGTTGGCAGAGCATGTCCCTGAACACCTTCTCCATGTCAGGATCATGACTCATGAGAGATGGAAACAAAAGCCACGCAATCGAACTGCCCCTTCAGCTCCTCCTACATAATTCTAGGAGACTTTTCCCTGTGTGCCATTATAAAAGATCGTAATTTTCTCTGTGTCCCTGAAAAAATTCAGCGGTCTTCAGCGCCACTACTTCAATTTTTTCGGGTCCTCCATGCCACTTCCGTCAGTTCAGGCTCTAACGCCGTCAAACTACAGGTGTGAAAAGACGAAAATGCCCTTAAGTTCAAATATGTTATTAATTTTTTGAGCATCTTAACGACTTCAAATGAAAAAACTCAAAACTAGAAAGTTGTAGATCTCGTCGAGATCTATAATTTTCATATAAAAATTATTTTCATTTAATTCCAAAAAAATATGATGATTTTTCTAAGATATATTAATCATATCAAATCATATTTTTTTTGCGGAATTAAATGAAAATAATTTTTATATGAAAATTATAGATCTCGACGAGATCTACAACTTTCTAGTTTTGAGTTTTTTCATTTGAAGTCGTTAAGATGCTCAAAAAAATTAATAACATATTTGAACTTAAGGGCATTTTCGCTTTTTTCACTGCGTAGCTTGACGGCGTTAAATACCGAACTGACGGAAGTGCAAATGATGAAAAAAGTGGAGAGAGTGACGTCAAGATCACTGAATTTTTCCAGAAACACACAGAAAATTATGATCTTTTATAATAACACACAGGAAAAGTCTCTAATTCTAGCGAGAGTCATCTTGCCCAATCCTCCAAAACCAACGACGGAGACCGTCCTCAGCAGCCGATTCGACGCCTCATCGCGCTCCGCCATCAGCAATTGGATCAGCTCACGGCTCCTCTCCTGGGTACCGACAAGCTCCGTCGCCGCGGCGTACAGAGCCGACAGCCGAAGGCCGTCGGCGGCCGTCGGGCCAGCGGGCTTCGCCGCGACTCCGTCGATCTTGTACCTGACGCGGCGCTCGCCGACCTCCACGACGCGTCGCTTGATGTCTCTGACCTCAGCGCCCATGTCGCGGCGGATCTTGGCCCTCCTGAGCAGGCCGAGCCCCCTGTCGATGAGGCCCCTCAGGCCCTGGAGGAGGTCCCTGTCCCCGGGCGGCGCCGGCGCCGGCGCGTGGTGGTGCAGGTGCGCGAGGAAGGCTTCCACGCAGTCCTCCACGTCGTAGGAGAGCTCCCGGATCTCCCGCGCCCACAGACTGTCCTGCGCGTCGGGCGGCCGGTCCGCCGGCGCCTCGGAGATCTGGAGGAGCGCGGCCTCCATGCTCTCCAGCTCCGCCTTGAGGAACGCGACGTCGTCCTGGACGCTCGCCTGCAGCTGGTAGTCCCGCGTCAGCAGGTCGCCCAGCATGGGTAGCAGCGTGCTCACCGCGCCGGTCACGAAGTCCATCAGGCACCCAAACCGCGGAGGAAAAGGAATAGCTAGCGGAGACCCGTGAAATCAAGAAACGGAATGGAACCTCGCGGCAGAGGAGAGGACCAAAGTACCAAACCTCCTTGGGAAGACGACCTCACCGCAGCTGTCCGGCGGCCGATCGAATGTTTGGCACCCAGTACAAACCGTGCAAAAGCTCTGCAGACTCGCTTCGAAAAAGATGTCAAGACTGACTGAGGCAACAAACCTGGAGCGTGGGACACAGCAAGACGAGAGATAACGGAGGCCGATCATGACGCGTCCTCTGCTCTCAGTCAGAGAACAACGCGACGAAACCACGCGGGAGAAGGACACGTACGACACAGACGCAGAAACTCTGAAACAAAGAACCACCACGGAGGCATGGAACATGATTCTACTCCCTCCGTTTCCTTCCATTTTAATTTATATATCGCTTCAATTTTCTGCTAAGCTAATTTTTTCGTGTGGTTAGGCTTCCGTTTCGTCCGGACCCGTGCTGTGGACCTCGATGTGCGAACCGTGTTTGCTCCATAGCAACTGCGCTGCCGCGCCCGCACCATCACGGGCCGCAATGCAGCGGGCGTGCCGCACCGCGCCCGAGCGCCGCCACATGTTTTCGTGTCTCTCTACCATCACTCACCACTCGCCTCCGAGTTCTTCGAGCTGACACGGCGTGGTTCATGACGACTGCAGCGGCGCGGCCTTCTTCACCACACCCAACCGTTTGCCTGCCGCCATCCTCCCTCTCTATTTCACCCGAGCGCGTTACATCTGAATGGTTCATGTGTTTCATCTGTACGTTTCATGTGTTTTATCTTCATGCTGCAAAAGGATTTGATGCTGCATATGTTGCAATGGCTATACACGTATATTTCAAGTGTATGTTCCACATGTTTCATCTGTTTTAGATGTATGTTGCAAATATATGTTCCAAATATTTCAGCTGTTTCAGATGCATGTTTCATGTGTTTCATCTACATATTGCAACGACTATACAAGTATGTTTTAATAGTATAATGCATATGTTGCAACGGTGAGACGGATGTTGCAGAGGAGATGAGATGTTAGGATGGGGGAAGGGGCACGGCCCAAGCAGAGCGCGGTGGAGGACAGGGCTGGCCGGGGATGGCGCGGCGGCGAGGGGAGGAGCGCGGCGTGGCGGAGGAAGGAGCGTGGCGGGCTTGGGGGGGGGCACAACCGGGATGGGGATCGAGTTGCGGATGGTCAGACGCGGTCACTGGCGCGGGATCGGTCACGGGCGGCCAGACGCGATTCGCTGGTGCGAGATCTGATGCGAGCGCGGGGGCGTCCGATGCGAAGCGGTTGCAGGTGTCGGAGCGTCCGGACGCGGGCCTAGGGCCGGACGTCCGGGCGCTAGCCCCTGCCGTAATTTTTTTTTTCTGATTCTAATCATAATTTAGAAAAATATATTAACATCTATCGGTTCCAATAAATATATTATCAACATATATTTTACACAAGACTTAATAAACCTAATTTCATATAATGTAGATATTCTATTTTTCTATAACTTTTACTAAACTTAGAAAAATTAACTTGTACTGCAAGGCATTCTGGTAGTCTAGTCCGACTGTCGACACACAAGAACTCTAGTTTTCTTAGCTGTACAAATGCTGGTGGAAGCGCTTTTATGTTGGTCATATTCAAGTCCAGGAACTGCAGAAGCTGTAGGTTCCCAATCTCATTTGGTATCTCAGTGATGGATGTCAAAGATAGCTTTAGATATCTCAGGTGATACAAATTGCAGATGTGCTTGCAGTCTCTGGGGCTGTTCACTGGTCTGAAATTTTCAGCCAGCCGGCTGATCCCCACTCTCAAGTTACTGTTCACCAAACCAGCCAAATAGTATTTTTCTCTTACAACAAACCAGCCGGAACAGTGTTTTTCAGCCAAGTTTCAGACCAGCGAACGGGGCCTCTGTTACTAGGACAACAGTAGATATTCCATTTTTCTATCACTTTTACTAAACTTAGAAAAATTAACTTGTACTGCAATTGAAATGAATAATAATCTAGTCAGTGTAGAAAGTACTTCTAGAGAAACCAAACATTTGGATTTGGAATATGATCTAATGGTAGCTGTCTAGCAACCGAATCTATGGGTACTACACGTCCACACCCACTGACCTCCGAACTAGTACATACTGTGCAAGTGGGACAACAACGACAAAAATAATAGAGACCAATCATGATACATCCTGTACTAATTACGAGAAAATTCCTACCTTGTCCTTAAAAAGAGTTTGACTCATTCCTTGACTCTTTTAGATTCAAAGCTACTTATTTGGTCCATAATCCAACTTTCGTTCCTTATATGGCTCTTTCCTCAGATTTAGCCACTACCGGTGCTAAGTGGGGATGAAATGATGATTTTTTTTTCATATATTTCATTTTGAGCATCATTTAGACTATTTTCGCTACAATTGTTGTTAGCTATTATCATACTATTAGATCATATCCCACGCGCTCTGTCTGGTTCCCAACTAGCGCCAACGTCCGGAACTGCGGCCTGTGCCTATCCCGCGCCCCGCACAGTGGAACCACGCCCTGCACGGTGGGACCGCGCCCATCCATCCCACACCCGCATGGCGGAACCGTGACCCACGCCCACCTGCCCCGCCTGTGGATGCGCGCTGCAGAGGTGTCTGCAGGCCTCAGGCGCCGACACGTGAACCATGGCAGCGCACCTACATCAGCAGGCAGACATCGGCCTGCAACTAACAAAAGATCTACTTTTGAAACATTCAAATTAAATATTTGCAACATACGTCAAAAATAAATGAAACACTTGAAACATGCGTATATAGCCGCCTCACTAACCACTAACAAGACACAAGCTAGCTCTCAAAACTAATTACACTAAAGAGCTTAGCTACACTAGGAAAGTAAATGCACAAGAGAGGTAGTCAGTTATACCGTCATGGCAAGAGATGATCAATCAATCACAATGAATACCAAATGAATTCCTCGGAGACAAGATGACACAATGATTTTTCACCGAGGTTCACTTGCTTGCCGGCAAGCTAGTCCCCGTTGTGGCAATTCACCCACTTGGAGGTTCATGCGCTAATAGGCATCACACGCCTAATCCACAATCGGGTTCCACACAACCAACACAAGATGGGGATCACACAAACCACGAGCAATCCACTAGAGTACCTTTTGGTTCTCCACTGGGGAAAGGTCAAGAACCCCTCACAATCACCGCGATCAAAGTAAGAGACAATCACCTTCCTCCACTCGACGATCCTCGTTGCACCAAACCGTCTAGGTGGCGACAACCACCAAGAGAAACAAGCAAATCCCGCAGCGAAACACAATCACTAAGTGCCTCTAGATGCAATTACTCAAAGCAATGCACTTGGATGCTCTCCAATCTCACCAAATGATGAATCAATCAAGTAGGACGAGTGAGAGAGGAATGGCTAGGCTCACTAGGGTGCATTCTCAATAGAAATGGCCAAGAGGGCGAGCCATGGCCGACCAACAAGCTTATATAGGCACCCCAAAAGAATAGAGCTGTTAGCCCTCTGACTGGGGGTTTTTTGGGGCGATCGGACCCACAGGCAGGGTCCAGACCGAACTCACCCGCCTGGGTCCGATCAACGGGATAAGTGCCACGTGGCCTTGCCTTTGAATACCGAGCATTGATCTTCAACAGTCGAGTTCTCCCATGCACAGACCTTGTCTGGACCGGACTCAGCGCCAACATGAACGGACCCCGTCCGGAACACATGACCGGCCTCTGATCTAGGGTCTGGTTCTCCATGTGCTACCATGTTGCCTCAGCTCACTTTGCCGCTTACGTCACCGCATAACCGAACCCTCGCGCCTGGGTCTGGTCATGCCCAGCGCCTGGGTCCGAAGCACCCAACGCCCGGATAGAGGAGACCGAACTCTGCTCCTCCTGAGTTTGGTCACGCCGAGGCCCAGGGTCTGGTCATCCAAACTGACTCCTCCTCTTCTTAGACTTCTCCACCCTTGCTCAAATGTGCTAACCACCAAGTGTATCACCTTGTGCATGTGTGTTAGCATATTTTCACAAATATTTTCAAGGGTGTTAGCACTCACTAGAATCTAAATGCATATACAATGAGTTAGAACATCTAGTGGTACTTTGATAACCACATTTCACGATGAGTTTCACCCCTCTTAATAGTACGGCTATCCATCCTTAATGTGATCACAGTCACACTCACTAAGTGTCTCGATCACCAAAACAAAAATGGCCCTATGGATATCACCTTTCCCTTGAGCCTATTTTGTTTTTCTTTCTTCTTTTCCAAGTCCGGAGCTTGATCATCATCACATGTCCATCACCATCACCTTGGACTTCATTTGCTCCACCACTTGGATTGGTACTACCCTATCTCATGATCACTTAGAGCAAAGGGTTAGCACCTAGGGTTTCATCAATTCACCAAAAGCAAACTAGGCTTTCAATCTCCCCCTTTTTGTAATTGATGACAACCCTTTCACAAAGATATGAATTATAATAATTTTGAATCCATGTTGCTTGCCCAAGCATTTTAACATGTGTAAAGGATATGGACAAGTTTTCATGAACCCGAATTGGTAGCATTACCCCCCTACATATGTGCTAAGAGTTTGGATTGAATCTTGCACATATGCATAGATAGGAAATGTGGGAGGACAATGTTTACCAAATGATGCTAAGGTGTAAGAGATGGACCTTTGAAGCGTGATACCAATTGGAGTGCAGCAATAATATCATCCTTAGCACCATTATTAGTTAGATGGCACTTGCAAAACACAAACACTAGATACCCCGTGAGATCAACATTATAAGCAAGGTTCTAGTACCACTTGTGAAAACAAATGCAAGTCACATCTAACTATCATCATATGCATGCTAGTTTTTCATTTCATCATTCCAACCTACAACTAGCATACGCCACACAAGCATGGAATTTTAATTTAAAACTTGTGCCATGCAAGCATACATATGTAATG